TCTTATTTCACGGGTTTCTAAAACTTAAAATATATACTTATAGACTTAAAAACTTAGGAATTTCATCATACTGTGTTTTCTCTACAGTGTGGCCACAAGCAGTATGTGGAATTAGCAGATCTTGAGCAGAAATGGAAAACTTTGTGCCTGCCAATAGAGAACTTCAGAGCGTTGTTGCAATTGGATCCTTGCGAAGACAAAATGGAGTGGATAAAATTTTTAGCGCTTGGATGTAGCATGCTTGGTGGGGTACGTACCTACAAGTAGCATATGAATAATTCTGTGCAGTCAGGGGCCTGGCTTAAAAGTAATGTCGGTGTTTCAGTAACCGAAAGAAACACTTTCACTACTTTAGTAACTTGGAGAGAAGCAATTCTTTTTCAAGTGCCTGTTGTATTTTTAGGCTTACATTTTTTTTTTAAGATTTTATTTATTTATTTGAGAGAGAGAGAGCGAGCGAGCAGAAAAGCAGCAGAGGAAGGGGGAAAAGCAGACTCCCTGCTGAGCAAAGAGCCCAATGCGGGGCTCAATCCCAGGACCCCGGGATCGTGACCTGAGCCAAAGGCAGCTGCTTAGCAAGCTGAGCCACCCAGGCGTCCCGCAGGCTTATAGTTATTTTAATTTGCAGAAGTTAAATACTTGGGAATGCTTCAATTTTAAAATTGTTAACAGTAGATAAAACATACAGATATTATGACAATGCATTTAAGTGTTAGAAGAGAATGCATCGGTGACTTTATATTGAACTGCACATCATTTGGTAAACAGATACTATGTTCTCCTCATCTATGGGAAGAGGCATAAAATTATTTTACATTTGAGTTAAAATATATGATTAGTAGCTAACAGATATGGTGCAACTTTGGCGGTGTTGAAGTGTGAACCTTGGGAATGAGGACAGAGATGACCCTCCAGTTCCCAAGTGAGGGGTCTCTGAACCAAGGAGGGGTGGAAAGGGAAGGGCTGGAGTGTGAAGATTTGGCAGGACTTCTTCTTTCTTTCTTTCTTTTTTTATTATGTTCAGTTAGCCACGGTATAGCACATCATTAGTCTCCGATGTAGTGTGCAATGATTCATTAGTTGCGTGTGACACCTCCTTAATGCCCATCACCCTGTTACCCCATCTCCCCCCCCTCCCCTCTGAGACCTCGGAGTCCATAGTCTGTCATGGTTTGTCTCCCTCTCTGATGTCTCCCCCTTCAGATTTCCCTCCCTTCCCC